CCAAACACTCTCATTGTAAGAAAGATAGCCTCTTTGGTGTTAGAAAAACTGGCTTTCCACATGGCAAAGGCTAAAATTAAACCCATGTCTCTCACCATGTACTAAACTGAAATGTAAAATCAAAATGGATCAAAGATCCAAATATTAAAACAGAAATACTAAATATGCTAGAAGAAAAAATAGGTAGAATTCTTGAAGACAGTGGTGTAGGCAAAGACTTTATGAAAAAAAAAAACCCAGTTGCATAAGAACTATTACAGAGAATCAACAACTGGAATCTCATCTTATTAAAAAACTTGTACATCAAAACAAACCATCAGTGAAGAGACAGTGCATAGTGTGAGAAAAATTGTTTCCCAGCTTTTCCTCAAAGGACTAATATCTAGAATATATTTAAAAACTCAAAGTCTCAGACCCCCATAATCTAAAGACCCAATTAAAAAATAGGCATTTTAGGGCCAGGTGTGGTGGCGCACACCTGTAATCCCAGCACTCAGGAGGCTGAGGCAGGAGGATTGCCATGAGTTTGAGGCCAGCCTGGGGTACAAAGTGAGTTCAGGTTCAGCTTGAATTACAAAGCAAGACCCAGCCTTTAAAAAACCAACAAAACAACAACAAAAATGGGCATCTGAAATGAACAGACACTTCTCAGATGAAGAAGTAGAAATAGCAGGGCCACGGATTTAGCTCAGCGGCACCATGACTACCTCACAAGTGCAAGGTCCTGAGTTTGATCCCCAGTGCAAAAAAAAAAAAAAAAAAAAAAAAAAGTTGAAATGGCAATTAAATATATGAAAAAATGTTCAGCATCACTGGTAATTCAAGAAATACAAATTAAAATGATGGTGAGATTCCATCTCAGTCCGGAAAGAATGGCTGTTATCAAGAAGTCAACCGAGAGCAAATGCTGGCAGGGCTGTGATGGGACTGTTGGTGGAAGGGTAGACCGGTGCGACCACTGTGGAGATCAGTGTGAACGTTCCTCAAAAAACTAAAGCTAGAGGTTCTATTCAACCCAGCTACTCCCCTTTGTGGTATCTACCTCAAAGAATTAAAAGCACCCTACCACAAAGATATATGCACACCCATGTTTATAGGGGCACAGTGTGTAATAGCTGAATCTTAGAAACAGCCCAAATGCCCATCAACTAATGAATAGATAAAGAAGATGTGGGTTTTTTAAAAAGTACAGTGGAGTGGTATTATGCTATAAAGAGGGACAAGCTTAGCCGGGCATGGTGGCGCACGCCTGTCATCCCAGCACTCGGGAGGCTGAGGCAGGAGGATCTCTGTGAGTTCGAGACCAGCCTGGGCTACGTAGTGAGTTCCAGGTCAGTCTCAACTACATAGTGAGACCCTGTCTCAAAAAACCAACACCCCCCAAAAAAGAGGGACAAGCTTGAGATATTTCTAGCTAAATGAATGCATCTTGAGACCATACTCAAGTGAGAAAAATCAGACCCACATGTTTAAATACTGCATTATTTCTCTGGTGTGAGAAACTGAAAGAGGAGGCCAGGGATATAGCCCAGTGGTACAGCACCTGACAGAAAGTGCAAGGCCCTGAGTTTGATTCCTGGTAGAAAGATAGGAAGGAAGGGAGAGAGAGAGAGAAAGTGGAAATAAGGACCAAAATGTTTAATATATATTGGGAAATGAGAAGAAAATGTTCAAATGACATGGGGAAGAGGGAAAGGGGGAAGGAAAGAAGGGACAAATAACAAATGCAATAGAAGAGAGAATGGAAGCAAAGCTTTTGTAAATAGGGAAAGTGGGGTTGAAGGGAGAGGAGAGGACTGGAAAAAAAAGAATCAAGATATATCGTGTGCAGGTACAAAGTCCTTATGATGAATGTGATCATTACTTATTTTATATCTAAAATATACCAATAGCTGGGTGTGGCGGCGCACGCCTGTCATCCCAGCACTCGGGAGGCTGAGGCAGGAGGATCGCTGTGAGTTCGAGACCAGCCTGGGCTACATAGTGAGTTCCGGGTCAGTCTCAACTACATAGTGAGACCCTGTCTCAAAAAACCAAGACAACCCCAAAACCCCCAAAACAACAACAAAAAAACCCCAATAAGCTTAATTTAAAAAATAAATTCCCTAGGATGAGTGTTATCATTATATATATCTAAATTGTACCAGTAAAGGTCTTGCTTTAAAAAAAGAAATGAATATACAGTCAGAAAAGGACTGGGCTGGGCTGTCAAGGAAGTCATCCGAAAAAGTCCAAACAACAGATTGTGGTCTTCTGAAGAAGACCAGGCCTTGGGATAAAGGTGTAATGGCCAGGCGTCTGTGCCTCTCCTGAGGGGTGAGTAGTAACTTGGAATTATACTATAACTGCTGTCACCTGGTCCAGGAAGTCCAGTTAGCATCAGTCGCCCAGGTGGGTGAGCAGAGCATCGGGACCCATCGCTTTACCACAACGCCTTTGTTGTTTCCATGCGCCCTTCTTACGTTACCTGCTCCCTTATTGGACCAATATTAGCCGAACAGCTGTACTTGTAATCCTATAGGTTGATCGTAGTCTGACCCACGATGTACCGACATTTTGACTTTGCTGTATAAATTACCTCTATGCCAGTGCTCTTCTGGATCCCCGCCTGTCCCCCAGGAGCAATTCCTAGTCCCCAGTAAACCTTTCCTACTCTTAACCTCCTTGGACCTCTGGGATTCATTCTTCAATCTCAGGGTACGCACATTTGGGTTACCTGACGTCAAGCAGGTTGGGAGTTTTCTTTTCCCCTCTCTTGGTAGGGGGATCACCATGAGTTTTCAGTGACCCGGACTACACAACAAGGCCCTGTCTGAAAAAAAAAAAGAAAAGAAAAAAAGTCTCAAAATTGAAAGCTGGGGGTGTAGCTCGGTAGAAATGCTCTTTTCTAGAATGCTCAAGGCCTTGATTCAATCCCCAGTACTGAAAAAAAAAAAAAAATGTCTTCCAGAGCAACCTTGTGAATCGTTCGCAGAAGGAGATTAATCGCTGGCATCCATGCATTTGATTATTTTGGTGGGGCCTCAAATCCTCCTGATTCACGGTTCTGGATACTGTAGGTGAAAGTTTGCCCAGAAGGCCCTCTTAGTCCTTTTCTTCAGTAAGGAATGTTCCAGCTGAGGTGTTGACTTTGTCTCTGATGCCCTTTATATTACACATTACATTTGGGTAGAACGTTAGGAGCCAGGCGTGGTGGTGCACGCCTGTCATTCCATCACTGGGGAGGCTGAGCCAGGAGGATCATTGTGAGTTCGAGGCCAGCCTGGACTTCACAGTGAATTCAAGGCCAGCCTGAATATAAATTGTATATAAATATAAACATATGTAGACAGGTTACTTTTTAGTATAGAGAAATAATACTCATTTAGTGTGTGTGTTTAGGGGGTTTCTGGGGATTGAACCCAGGGCCTCCATCCTATATCCCTAGTCCTTTTTTTCATTTGCTATTTTGGGATAGGTTCTTGCTACTGATAACTTGTCCAGGTTAGGGTCAAACATGTGGTCCTCCTGCTTCAGCTTCCCAGCAAGTTGAAATTACAAGCACGCCCCTCCACTCCCAGCTATGGGGCGGGGTCATCTGGGCACATTGGTGCACACGGCTGTAATCCCATCTGAGGAGGGAGATCTGTAAGAGTTTGAGCCCAGTGCAGGTTGCATAGTGAGTTCAAGGCCAGCCTGAACTACATAGCGAGACTGTGTCTCTAAGTAAATAAATAGTCTTAATATGTAGCCCGTGTTGGCCATGAGGTCAGACCCTCCTGCCTCAGCCTTCAGAGTGCTGGGATTGCAGGGTGTGTGGCGCCGCGCCTGCCTTTAACTTTATATGCTTGTGATTCTCGAGCACTCTCGGGTGATGTCATGGTTGATCATCACGGCTGCAGCTGCTTGATGACTCAGTGATGCTTAATCAAAGCAGTGTAATTAGAGTCAATCCAGGCGGGTTGGTGCAGAGAAGTGAGTCATTGTTTCTCTCCTGGTTCTGAGTGTTGCTCCTCATCAGCTGCCACCTTGAATTGTTGGCAACCGCACAGTAGATGGTGAGGGTGATTTTAACTGCTTTGTGTGGGTTCCACTGAGTCTGCCTGGCCTCGGATGCCACCCTCATTGAAACAAGGCCCGTAGTTCTCCTGAGGGATTTGCTCAGAGGTGTCTGGGGCTCCACATTTGCTAAGCAGAGGAGAAGTCAGTACTGCAGACTGCTCAAATCCCGACTTGGGTTTCTCTTGATAACAATGACAAATGACCCTCAGTCTCATGATCCAGACTTGCCCTGCTGATATCTGACTGTAAATATGTAAAACTTAGTTGATCTTTATCCCCCCCTCAGTATTGAGGATTGAACCCAGCCTCTTCACACAGAGCTACATCCCCAGCCCTTTTGCATTTTTTTTTTTGGACACTGGAGCTAAGTCTCTGAGCTGCCCTAAGTCTCTGACTTGAACTTGTGATCCTCCTGCTTCAGCCTCCCAGAGTGCTGGGTTACAGGTGTGCACCACTATGCCCAGCTGAACTCTGTGTGTGTGTGTGTGTGTGTGTGTGTGTGTGTGTGTGTGTGTCTGACAAATTAACCCAGGGCCTTACAGGTGCTAGGCAAGTGCTCTACCACTGAGCTATATCCCCAGCTCATTCTGTATACTGAATTTTGCTAAAGTCTTACTAAGCACTGTTACAAACTGCAGTGTTTACATGTACAGGGCTTCCTTGAAGAAATAACACTGTGCCCAAACAGTAGTAACCACAGAGGTACAAGGGCCATACTTTCCTTACTAGTTCTAAATGGCATTTCCCCCCGTCTTTATTAATCACTGATCTGGTTGTCACAGATTTCACATGATCCATCCTTTCTTCTCTTCTTGTCGTCAGTTGTCGCGAGTGACTTCACAGTCTGTTAGCTGGGCGTGGTGTCGCACGTCTGTAATCCCAACGCTGGGGAGGCTGAGCCAGGAGGATTGCTGTGAGTTCGAGGCAGTGAAGTTCTGAACTACACAGAGAGAAGCCGTCTCCAACAACAACAGTAACAAGAGTAAGCAAGACTTAAAAAACATGTAATTATGATTGTAAAAATGTATTACATTTTTAAAAATTCATTACAAAGAAATTGGGTTTGGGGCTGGGAGTGTAGTTTAGCACTACCCTGTTTGCCTGGTGTGCATAATGCCCTGGTCCCCAGCACTGCAGAAAGAAAGAAAAAGAAAAATTGGGTTTGATTACTATAGTGCATTTCTGTTGTGTAACCTATAGCAATTAAGGGTTTCTACCTTAGCTGATTACCACAGATGTTTGGCTTAAATAAATTTATTTTCTCAGTGTTGTGGAAGGTGAAATTATTTGATAGATTTTTGTTTTTGTTTGCTTATCTGTTTTTCAGTGCTGGGCTTAGAACCCAGGGCCCTGTACATTCTAGGCAAGTGGTCTACCACTGAGCTGCTTACCAGCACTTCTGTCTGTTGTCCCTTTTTTCCCTTCAGTACTGGGGATTGAACCCAGGACATTCTTACTGAGCTACATCCTCAGCCCCTTTTTATTTTGAGATGGTGTCTTGCTAAGTCACTGAGTTGCCCAGGCTGGGCTCGAATTTGTGATCCTCCTGACTCAGCCTCCTATAGTGCTGGGATTATAGACTTGTACCACTGCATCCAGCCCTGTCTGTTCTTTACAAGGCACCAATCATGAAAGTCAAACCTCACGATTTCATCCAACCCTTATTACCTCTATGATGTTCATTTACAAGTACAGTGATCATAGGATGTTAGGGCTCCAAAATGGGAATGCAGCATGCACAAAATTCATGCCATAAAATGTTCTGCTTTATTTTTACTTTCACTGTAGTGGTGGTTTTTTTGTTGGTGGTGTTTTTTTTTTTTTTTTAGTTTGTTTTGTAATTGCTCTACCATCCCAAATAAATATTTTATTTTGGAGACTTATGATCTTTCCTATCTATAACCATTTGAGGTCACTAACAATTATCCTGTTGTTAAAATTGAACTGCCAACATGGTTTTATTAATTACATTTTAATGACTTTTCATTCATAAATATCTAATTATAGTTGTTTTCCTTGTATTTATTGACGTGCAATTGACAATACAAATTGTGTATATTTAGGGTATACCGCATGATGTGTGATATATGTTTTGTTTTTTTTTTGTACCGGGGATCGAACTCAGAACCTAGTGCTTGCTAGGCAGGCAGCGGAACCACTGAGCTAAATCCCCGGCCCTGTATGATATGTATATAAATTATTACAGCAGTGAAACTAATTACGATTACCTCACATATTTACTTTTGTTTTGGGGGGGGTCATAAAACACTCTACTGTTTCAACAAACTTCAAGTATATAGTATATTAACTATAGTCACCATACTGTACATTGAGTCTTTTTTTTGGGGGGGGCGGGGATCCAACTCAGGACCTTGCACTTGTGAGGCAGGCGGTGGAACCACTGAACTAAATCTCCAGCCCTACATTGGGTCTTAAAAACTTACTCACTTTAGAGCTTTGTTGTGGTTCAGATCTGGGGTAACCCTTAAGTCTTGTGTGTTTGGTAGGTGATTAGATCATGAGGGTGCTATAATTATCAGTGGATTAGACCAGGATGAGTTCTTAGCCAATTTACTGTTAGGAGGCGGGGCCTGGTTAGAGGCGGACCTCAGAGGCGTGGCCTGGGAACCCCCGCCCCCTTGCCCTCCTGTGAGCAGCTCTCTTCCTCGCCAGTTCCTTCCACCGTGCTGGTTACACATTTGATCCTGTTACCCAGGGACTGAAACTTCTGAAACTGTGAGCCAAAATAAACATGTTCCTTTAAGTTGTGGTGTCAGGTATTTCGTCCCAGCAATGAAAAAGGGACCAAGACAGACTTACAGTTTGTAACTTTTTTTTTCTTATGTAGTACTAGAGATTGGGGCAAGGGCCTTTGCACTGCCTACTTTTAAATTTTTGTTTTTGGTACCAGGGACCGAACTTGAGACCTTGTACTTGTGAAGCAGGTGGCAAAACCAGTGGGCTAAACCCCTGGCCCTAGTTTTAATTTTTTAGTTTGAGACAGGGTTTCTAGGTTTCCCAGGCTTGAATTTGGGATCCTCCTGTCTTAGCCTGTCAGACTGCTGGGATTCCAGGCTTGCAGCACCACACCCTGATCCTAGTTTGGATCCTTCGACCAATATCTCCCTCCCCTCCTCAACAGCTAGCCACTATTTTCTTCTTTGCTTCTGTGAGTTCGGTTTTTAGATGCCACTTATAAGTGAGATAGCGCAGTTTTGCCTTTCTTTGGCTTATTTCACCTAGCATAATGTCTTCCAGGTTCAGCCAAGTTATTGTGACTGACAGGATTTCCCAGGTACTCATGAGGCTGAGGCAGGAGGATTGGAAGTTCAAGGCCAGCCCAAGCAATTTGGCTAGACCCTGTCTCGAAACAAACAAACAAACAAACAAACAAAACCACTAAAGGGCTAGGGATGTAGCTCAGCACTCCCTGGGTTCAACACCCAGTACCAAAAAATTGTACAGCAAAATACGAAGATTTGCCACTATCCATCAGTTCAATAGATTCATAAAATGCATTAATGATGTACATGTACAAATGTTGGCAAATCAGTATTGTAACTGCTAATTCCACAAAGACCACCCAGTGAAAACCGCAGCAAAAGTGATTAAGGGAGTAACTTCAGGACGACTGTTGAATACACGAAGACTGATATCAGTGCTATTTCACCATGTAATATGAGAGGCCCTGAATTTATGGTGAGACCTGTGGAGTCAAGAGAAATACATCTTTGAAGAAGAAAAAAAATCTTTCAAATTTTGCAAGAAGTATCAGTAGATTGGAAACAGGAGTCAACTACGTATTAAGAGTTTTAGCGTGGGCTCTACATGGTGGTGTATGCCAGTGATCCTAGCACTTCAGAGGTTTAAGCAGGATGACCCCAAGTTCAAGACCAGTCTGGGCTATATAGCAAGTTCCAGGTCAGCCTAGACTACATAGTGAGACAATGTCTCAAAAAAAAAAAAAAAAAAAAAAAAAAAGAGGGGGGAGCCAGGGATATGGCTCGGTGGCACAGCACCTGCCCGGCAAGTGTGAGGTCCTGAGTTCGATCCCCGGTGCAAAAAAAAGAGAAAGAAAGCAGTCTAAAGACTGGATTAAGCCCATAATCTCATCCTCAAGCAGAAGAATTTTGAACTCAAAGCCAGATGGGGCAATTTAGTCCCTTTCTCAGAATACAAGGGGCAGGAAAACACTCAGTGGTAGAGCGTCCCCAGGGCTCTAAACCTACTACCTGCGAGTGGGGCTTATCAGTAGGGAAGAGACACCAAGCAGCTGTAGGAATACGGGTGGGGGCAGAAGAGCCCTTGAGGGCATCCCGAGTCCCCACAGCCACCTTGGCCTTCCGGTTTATTCGCAAGCGAAATCGCGCGCGCGCGGGGCCAGGTCCCACCCCCAACTGCTCCCTGGCTAGGGGCCGCGGTCCCCGCTCGGAGGCCGGGATCTACCCTAACGACGGCCTCTGGGCTCGTTCCTCCCTCCACATCTCGCTCAGAGTTGAACCCGGAGCGCATCCACACCCACCCGAGAGCCACCCATAACCGCTACACATAAAGGCGCCCCCCAGAGCCGAACCCACCCGGCAACGTGCACTTCCGGCCCAGAGGGCGGAAGTGGAAGTGACGTCGGCGCCCTGTCTGTCT